CCACTTTGTACTCTTCTTAGGTTTCTCTGATTCATGCCCAGTTGCCCCCATTTTAGCTCAAACTCCTTCAAAAATGCTAAAGTGCAAGATATAATAGAGCTTTGCAACACATTAGCACATTTTTATGCATTTGATCACAAATCACCCACAAAGGATCACATTTAAGCACAAAACAACCCCATAATAACCCCAATAAATGAGTGTCTTTGGCACTCATCACCTCGCACATCGATAGATATAGAAAAAATTCAGAAGACAGGCAAAAAAGAGGAGCCAAGCAAGAGTTCATTTCAAAAACCCCATAGCGGGCAGTCAGATTACATATATAGAAGTAAAGAGGGGGTGGATTCCTAAGCCAATACTCTAGCTGCCTGATAAGCCCGTGGCTTACTCCGTTGGTCCAGAGAAAGCGTCAGTCGGAGCAGCAGCAGTCGGGGTCGATGGGCGCCTCAGTAGTTGATCGGCCAGCTCGTCATCATCCTCCCTGTCTAAGTTAAAAAGGACAGGTTCGTTAGCCCCAGCCAGAGCTTCATGGTGGGCGGCCAAGCCATAAGTGCTCAGCATCCAGCGGAATTTGCTGGCCGCCTTCTTGTCCAACCGCATGATTGTCCAGGTCGGCTGCCCCTGGTCATGTGCGGGGATAGCTGGGTCTGCAAAGTAGTCCACCAAGGGGGGTGAGAGCCCGTAGCGGTGAGGGCTAAAGTCGATGTATCTCCTCCACAAGATAGATCTCCTTTTGGATGTCCGCCATCCCGAGCTGGTAGTCCTTGGTGCCTGCATCTGCTAAATAAGCCTGACCGGCTGGTGTAGCCAGCCATTCCACGACGATTCCCTCAGCATTTGTCCGAGCATATTTCGCCACCTCTCTCTCAAACTCGATCGAGTATTCTGAAGCTCGACCGCCAACTGCTCGTTCCTCCTTTGCTTTGCCTCTAAGGCTGAGGCAGCTTGCCCAAGCTTCTGGTTGAGCTCATCTATCTGCTTGGCGTGATCATCCCAAATGGCATAGAGATCCTTTAGCTCGGTCAGCATGACCTTTTAGCGGCGGCGAAGTGCGAGTTGGCACATGAGAGCCTACAGGAGAATAAAATGGAAGATCAGACTAAGTATAGAATTTGGGCAGTCAGTTTAAAGTACACCTGGATACCTAATAGGTACGAAAGACGACCCCGTTAAGCAGCAAGTCAACATCGACCCCATTAACGGACTCAAGGTCCTTGAGGAAGATAACCTTCTCCAGCCACTCGCTCATACGGCATTGGCCTCTACGGATGGCCTCTGACTCGTTGGCCTCGAGGGCCGACCATTATCCTTTTGGAGGTCGGCGCTTCGACATAGGTCTCCCCTAGCCATTTGATTCCGGACCGGCGAGGAAAATGAGCGGTAGTAGTTGTAGTCGGCGTGGCCGACCTCCTCCGCCTAGTATCAGCGGCAGACTGGGCTGCGGCAGTCGGTGAGCCACCGACGACCAGTGGAGCCGAGTTGCGGATAGCTTGCGAGTGGGGTGGAGGTCGAGGTGGCTACGACCTTGCCCTTATCAACAGTAGTTAGGCGGGCTCGGCCAGAAGCACGGGGCAGTGCGCGGCGAACAGCCATGAGTTCCTCAGAAGATCCCTCGGATGGAGCTGTGTCGCTAGAGCTAAGTTCAAGAGCCGGTCGAGGAATCGTGTGGCGCGCAACCAGCGTCCCTTTGTCTACCTGCTCGTCCTCCTTCGACTCCTCAGAGGACGACTCAGTGTTGTTGTTCCTTGCAAACAAAACCCGGAAGGTGAGTACATAATCCCTACGCTCAGGCGATCAGTTAGGATTTGTAAGCAAACCTGTGTTAGCCGCGAGGTCCGGCAAAATGCAAGCCTTCTGCATAGCCCCCGGTCGCGACCAACGCTTGGCGGAGATAAGCTCACCTCGGTGATCCGCTTGACCATATCAGCCAGATCGTCTGGGTAGGGTTGCCTCTTCTCGAGGTGATAATACAACGATTGCTAGGCAGTTGGGAAGTCGAAGGCAGGATGACAGTCGGCCACGCGGACAAAAAGGAACTCCTTCCAGCCTTTGTGAGAGGATTCCAGTTTGTTTAGGAACTTGCAGTCATCCCAGGAGCGGATCTATACATGTCCCGGAGCAACGGAGCCGACTGCAGTTATTCGAAAAATGTTGGAGAAAGAGAGACAAGGAGGCTTGCACCTCGAGGCGGTAGCAATAGGTTAGAAAGGAAACCATAAGGCGATAAGAGTTGGGCACCAACTGGCCAGGCATTATGCCTAGTACCGAGGGAGGAGGGAAAGGAAACGAAAAATAGGCACTCGGAACCTACAGCGGACCGACTAGTAGTGGATCCTCACGTATCCGCCTTCTGGGGGTTCACTCACCAATTGGTTGCCCGACCGTCAAGTCACCGCAGCCGTGCCCAACAGTCGGCGGTCTTGCTGGTAATCGACATCAGAAAGGGTGGAGTGGGGCAGACAGGCCACTCTAAATCCTCATAATAGCCCGGCTCCCTATCGATCAGGGGGTCCATTGGGGTTACTGAGGTATGGCTTTGGGCCGCCAGTGGAAGAGATTTAATAGCTGGAGGGTTGGAAGTTTAGCTCTGACAGGCGCCGGAAGAGGAAGCAATGGGGGTCTGCGACATAAGAGCAACATTATCAATTGGGGATATTAGGGAGAGAATGTAAGAGTGATTAGGAAAGAAAATGTGGGAGGGGAGAGAAAAAAATTCAAAACAAATTTTTTATTAAAAAAAATAATATAAAAAGTATGGTCAGGCGCGCTTGACGCGCGCATGTGGGCGGCTGTTGTGCGCGAAATGCGCACAGCAGCCCATGCTTCTCTGAATATCTCAACCCTTGCAGGACAATTATTTCTTGAAATAACCCCACCACACATTTGTAAATAACCCCACCTAAAATATTTAATCTGACATTAACCCCATATTCTTCTCTACTATGGATGCTCTAATGAAAGTGCGAGGGAAGGAAAACAAGAAAAAGGCTAACCTAGCTTGACGAAAAAATGAGGGCGATGGCCAGAAGTAAAACGGAACTGACTCTCGAAAGGGGAGAGTGCCGATCGCTGGGAAAGGAGAAAGGAGGAAGATTCTCGCCAGAAAGAAAAGATGAGGAGGAGAGTTCGCTGGAAGTCTTAGAGAGGAAGAAAGTAGAAGTGTGGAAAGGGGAATGAGAAGGGAGGCCTGGCTATTTATAAGTATGGCCAGCCAGCCAGATTGTGACACGTGTCCTTATCAAACGGTAAGGGGAGTAGCGTAACGTCTGACGAGACGGTTATGAAAAGATGCGCCTCAGGGCTGTAACTGGCAAAGATCGAGGGGACGCCATAATTACATGTCAAACGGCCAAACCGATTCGCAGAACCAATCAGGAAAGTGGTAAAACCAGTCAGCCTATCAGCATGTGCCCAGCTGAGTGCTTATCTCGACTAAAGGAGGTAGCGAGAGGCCAAACGGGAACCCGAGTGTTGCACTTGATGATTTCATTCTACTTTTCTGAGTCGTCACTCGGTTAGACTTCAGAAATGTGATGGACTGGTGATAGATACCTCAATCGGACACTCAGCCTGGGGTGTGGAGGATAGTCTGTCCTGATTGCCTAGGGACACTTAGCACTTCAAGGGAAGAGGTCTCCTTCACAAGTAGCGATGCCATGAATACCTGGGCGACCAGGCTCTATGATCGGTGTGTCCCCGACCGATTCCCTACCAGGCTCGAATGGAAGACCAGGCTGGGCAGTCGGGGTGTCCCCGACAAAGTGCGCATTCCAGAGGTAGTTAAGGGTAGATTTCATGGAGATTCTTTTCTTGGGCGGCAAGTAGCTTCCTTTTCTCCTTTTAGGCAATTAATGCACCAAGTTTGGTAGTTTCTAAAGCATAATTTTAGTTACTTTTCCTTCTTCTTGGCTTATAGATGATCTAACTCCTTGTATAAATACCCTCACGGGGTCATCTTGTAACGGATCCTAAATTCAAGTTACTAACGTTACTCTGCTCCTTTTTTTCTCTCGCAAACACTTTATTCCTTTAACTAGTGTTTTAAGGTAATGTTGGACCGCCGAACGGCTGCCCTAGGCTGTAAAACCAACACCTTCAATTAAAAATTGCATTACATAATTAAAAAATGATATCATCCCATCTTATTGGTAATCTAATTTTTACGTTTGGATTAGTAATTTTAGATTTTTGTTTTGACTTTTTTTGTTCATATTGATGTTTTGGGTGTCATTATATTGTGATCAATTGCCTTGATTTTTTGTTTTTGTATTTTTAAAACATTTATTCCCATTATAGGGCCATAGACAACCAAACATAATATTGCTAATTATTTCAATTCCACTATACTACCAAACATGCAAAATACTTTTACCAAAAATCATTACCATTACCAAGTATTTGATTCTCATTCCAATTTCGATTCTCATGTGCCAATCAAACAGACCCTAAGTTTAATTGTGACTTATTCAGTAGGTTATGCCGGACCATTTAGTGTTTTGTGCCAAAAGAAAAGAAGAAAATAAGTAGGTTGAACTAATTTATGCAAATTTTAAAACTTGAATTAAAAAGTGAAAAGCTAGTTTAGTAAATACATTTTTCTTTTAAAAAACAGATAGGGGAAATCCGCATTTTTTTTTTCAAAGAAAAAAAAAAAAAGAGGCAATGAAAATCTTACATTTAAAGAAAGATGAATTTAATACACTAGTTATATATTCACACTATAATCCAGATTTCAAGAGTTTCATAAAATAGTTTCGCTGAAGACCTACTTTTTCCATAAACCGACCGATCAATTAAAAGAGATTTAATTTGTCCACTAGAAATATTAAATTTTATTTTTCTACATTATGATCAATTTAAAAAAAAAAAATTGAGAGGAAAAAAAATTAAAGGACAGTAGTTGGAAATAAATTTGGCAGAAAAAGTTTGATTGGTCCAAAGACTATAAATTGGAGCAAAAAATATAAGAAAAAACAACACAATCGGTAGTGAGGAGATCTGAGGGTCCAAACACCACATAAGAAGAAGTGAATTAAGACAAGGCAGAAAATAGAAAATTAGAAAAGCCCAAAAAACGTATACACACACGGCCGGTCCCAGACATATATATAAACCCCCATAGAGCCACCATTTCCTCCGCCGGCTTCCTCCTCTGATCTGCCACTTTCCGATCGATCGGCCGCCCTGTCGGACCCATCTTTAATTTATTCTATCCCTTTTCATGTCTTAACTAAAAACACTACATACATATATACCCTTTCTCTAACCCCGGCCGGCCGCCCCATTAGCAGAGTTAAACCAATTAATTTAATTAAGCTTCTCGAGCGAGCTCCATTAATGGCGAAAACCTCGAAAAAAGACAGCTCCCGCAGCGGCAGCAACGACGATAACGTTGTTAAGGTGAAAAGAACTCGTAAAAGCGTGCCCAGAGACTCTCCTCCTCAACGAAGCTCCGTTTTCCGAGGTGTCACCAGGTACAACGTTGTTAATTAAAGATTTTCTGTTTCCTCGTAAACGTGGGATATAATGTTTTGACGGCCGGCCGGTTTCAGGCACCGGTGGACCGGCCGATATGAAGCTCATCTATGGGATAAGAACAGCTGGAATGAAGCACAGAGTAAGAAAGGAAGACAAGGTTAGTTCATCATCATCTTTCTGTTTTTTATTATTTTTTTTAAAGAATTTCTTTTCCTGGGAAAAATTAGTTGCAGTATAGTTGAACAAAATCACTAACGTTTTTATTTTATTTCATTTTAATTAAAAAAAAAAATCCTGGTTTCTTGGTCTTCTGCAATATAATGGTGACTGTACGTACTGGATGGTGATGGATGGAATGAAAATGCAGTATATTTGGGTAAGTTTTCTGTCATTTTCAACTTTCGTTTGCAATGTTTTATTAAATCTTTAAAAAAAAAACAAACAAATACTTTCAAAAGCAATTTTGTTTTTTTTTTTAAATTGTGGTAAAATTACAGACTGGGTATATGAAACTGAGTTGGAATAATTCAATGGATCTCATCTGATCCGATTAATTACACTGCATTGAATTTTGATTTTTTTTTTTAAATAAATTACTTTCAGGGGCTTATGATGATGAAGAAGCAGCAGCACATGCATATGACTTGGCAGCATTGAAGTATTGGGGACAAGAGACAATCCTAAATTTCCCAGTAATTTCCAACTTTTTTGGGTGAATTTTTTTTTGTAAATTTCAAATATATAGGGTTGGTGTTTTTTTTTTTTTTAAGTACTAATGACTCTGTTATTCCAACTGGGGTTCAAATCTGTGACCTCTCATCTGGAAAAGTTACAATTATGCGGCTTAATCACAAGGTCTTTGGCGGGTTGGTTGTTAATATTAATAAAAAAATTTCCTTTTTTATGAATGTAGCTTGCTACTTATGAAAAAGAGCTAAAGGAAATGGAAGGTCAATCAAAAGAAGAGTATATTGGTTCTTTGAGAAGGTATACATAAAAATGGAAAACATTGTTCTTTAAATTTTTTTTCTAAAAATAATTTACTCCTACCGAATTTGACTATTAATAAAAAAAAAATATTGTTAATACAATACTTTACGATATGTACTTGCAGAAAGAGCAGTGGATTTTCTAGGGGTGTCTCGAAATACAGAGGAGTAGCAAGGTAATTAATTAATTAATGTGTACAAATGATTGATAAACTTTTGTTGTTGTATAATATATATATATATATATATATATATATATATATATATATATATATATATATATATATATATATATATATATATATATATATATATATATGGAGTAATTAATTAATGAATTCAAATTACTTTTAGAAATTTATAATAATGTGAAGCTGACCTTCCCGGAATGGTCGCTGGAGAAGGTGACCAGCACCGGTGGCCGGTGGTAGTTTTTTTGTGGAAAATGATGCTTAAACCCTAGTGACTTGCTATAACAAGTCACTAACTAATTAGACACTTAATTGACTTTTTAGATAAAGTTTGAAGGCTTTTTTAATACTTTTCCTAAATAATACGAAGTATCATTTTATGTAAAGAGAATGATTGTGTGGAAGGCTTGGAGCTAAAATTGCTGCAATCCATTAATTCTAATTGAGTTGTGAATATTTGTATGCACAAGTTGTTGGGAGGGAAAATTAAAACTTCATTGAACCTTGAAAATATGGGTACCAAATCCCCAATTTGTCAAAGATGTTGCATTATATTGCATGCCATCCTCCCTCCCACCTCTCACCCACTTTTCACCTATGACCTAATATATATGTAGTTTCATCATTTGCTTATATTTTATTCTCTTCCTATGTTGTTCCTAAAATTGGTGCACCAACATTGACCTTAATCTTGTTGCCTTGAGTGTGTGTGTGTGATGACAACTTATTGGGTAATTGAGTCAATTATTGTATTAATTAGTATTTTGATTATTGTGATTTTTTAGTTTTAGTTATCAAGTTTAAAATAAATCATATATAGTTTTCAATAATTGAAAATGTGTTATTTATAGAGGTCTGATCTAAAAGTGTAAATTTTCAATAGTTAGATATTGTCAATTTTAAATTCAAGAATTAAAATTTAAAAAAAAAATTACAATAATCGAGAAATTAAATCAAAATCAAGGTTAATTCGTTTTTAACCCATGACTTCTCATTTAGAAAAGTCAATTCGTGTCACTAGACCATAAAGTCATTGGCAGGTTAACCCTTATTTATTTGTTTGCGAATTCTATAGACACATACACCAAAACCCACCACTCATATATTGACGGGTTGCGATATGAAATTGAGTGTATTATAGATATTGATTTTGATTTTGATTGTAATGTTCCATCACTGGAAATCTAAAAATTAAATGACAAATTGACATTGCCATTTGATTTGTTTATATTAATTGATTACAGAATTTTGTTGAACAAAATATGATGAGTCATATGTATATGTGTGCACTAATTAATTGATTGTATGTAACATCACCATTCATGTAATAATAAAGTTATAAAGTCACCCTCCCATTTCACAGTCAAATCATATATGCATCATTGATTTAGCACTTTGATTGTATTGTTGCCTCTTGACAATTGACATGCATATATACATACATACATAGTCATTTTTTTAATGCTAGTAACTCTATTACATACATACATAGTTTTAAGCTACAATTTTCAAACATAAATACTTCATAATATTGACCTTCATTATTGTTGTTTTAAACTCTTTTTTATATTTAATTATGATATAAACTCTTTATTAATTTATGGAGGGATCAATGATCAAGAATAGACAATAAAAAAATAATTTTTTTTAATTGTTTGTATAAAATTGTAGACACCATCACAATGGAAGATGGGAGGCTCGCATTGGAAGGGTGTTTGGCAACAAATATCTCTACCTTGGAACTTATGGTACAAATCCAACCCTAACACTATAGTTTTTATCAATTTTATTTTATATAAAGTATCGATCAACACTTTACTGATTTTCACTAGGTACAACTTAAATGTATATTTCATTATATCATGTACTTGTCTCCACAGTACAATAGCAAGTACACAACCCCAAAAAATTAATTGTATCCAGTGCAAATTGACACGGTACTTATATATACAACTGTACACATGCATAGAGAGTTTAATTATTATAAAGTGTCATGTTTTTTTTTTTTTTTGTTAAATTAGAAAAGGAAATAAATTTGGTTGGGGATAGTTATACGGTCAATATACAAATCACCAACAAAATATAAGGTTGTGAAATCACACTATAACTATGTATGCACCAAGTATATTCATGATTTTAGTTTCCTTAAAATAAGATAAATTGTATAAGCAATTTAAAGAGAGAGTCATCAATTTTAGAAATTGGGCATGATCCATATGATACCGTACAACATTTTATATACACACATTCTTGAGCAAAGTTTTTACATAATTATTTAATTTATTTAAAATCTCACATGCCCACAACCTAATATCACTTTAACATTGTTATTTGCCTACCACAACGTTATATTTATTTTGAAACATACATCACTTTCATTATTGCTCATTTGTCTCTATATCACATCTAATGTATTTGAAGGAAAATCATATAATACTCAATGAACCCACCTATATGTGTACGTTAATCGTGGATCGTGTGAATATATATATATATATATATATATATATATATATATATATATATATAAATTGCTACAACTACAATTCATATCTTATGGGGTTTTAAATAAAAAAATAATAAAAATATCCAAACCACTAATTTAACTAATACACTTATTTTATATTATATACTCCCTTTACCCCTTTTTTTTTTTTTTTTTGATTGCACTGGCCGGGTACAACCATACAACAAAAATGAATGTAAAAAGTTTTAGAGGTTGTACTTAATTAAATGGTGGCATTATATTGTCTCCATTGCACGCGGTACAAACTCTAAAGGTTATTGGGTTGTATTTGGTGCAAGAAACACCTATACTAATTGGCACCATAGACTTTTCTAGTGGAGTGTGTGTATAAAAAAATTCTATAGTGTTGAAATTGTACTGTGCCCACTGCAATAAATAAAAATGGGCAATGATATATATATATATATATATATATATATATATATATATATATATATATGTGTGTGTGTGTGTGTGTGTGTGTGTGTGTGTGTGTGTGTGTGTGTGTGTGTGTGTGTGTGTGTGTGTGTGTGTGTATATATGTATATATATTGAGAATGTTGCATGATGGTAGGGGTGAAGATGGAATTAAAGATGGTTGTTGATTGTAGATTACCAACCTTCAACTGCTATATATTTAAGATGTGGATCTTAGCCTTTGACATTAATTTTCAACCCCCATCCACCAAATTTCTCATGCAAATTGAATTCTTGAATTTATTGATTTATTAATCAAAAAAGTTTACGATTTTCCCAAACTACCCTTTGTGGTTTCGCAGCTACTCAAGAGGAAGCGGCAACGGCTTATGACATGGCAGCCATAGAGTACCGTGGGCTTAACGCCGTCACCAATTTTGACCTCAGCCGTTACGTCAAGTGGCTACGCCCTGATGATCAAAACCCTAACAACCTTCAGCCAAACCCTAACCCTAGTAATGACGCCGTTAGTCATCATCATGATGAACTCATCATCACCACCCAGCAACAGCAGCAGCCGCAACAAAGCTCCGGCGGTTCATCGGAAACGGCCTCTCCTCCGCCGCATGACCCCTCCGCCGCCTCCGCCACTTCGTCGGCATCTACCAACTTTCCAACCACCCCGCCGGAGCCGGAGCTGGAGCCGGACCGACCGAGAAGAAGTTTCCCGGACGACATACAAACGTACTTTGACTGCGACGACTCGAGTAGCTTTGTGGAGGAGCATGACATCATCTTTGGTGACCTAAGCTCATTTGATTCATCCATGTTTCATTGTGAGCTTGATGCATAACACCTAGGCTAAGGTTTAATCACCATTTTCATTATTAAAAAAAAAAAAAAAAAGATATAACAGTGGACATGCATGCATGGGATATATACATAGGAAGATTGTGAATACAAATTAAAGATAATTGTGGAGGGAAATGAGAGGGGCAGTGGGGTCATTTAATTAATATGCATGCCAAAAGAAAAATATTATTACTAATTCATTTAAGAATTGGAGGAGAGATTTTTCATTAATTTCTTTTATTAATTATATATGTTTTCAGTTGAATTAATTGGTTTAAAGACTTTTTTTTTTTTGTCCTTGAATTGTTGTTTTTTGTTCATTTATATGTATGTAGATATAGCATGAGGGAAGGTATAGATATTCATCATTCACATTATTATGTATGTTCAATAAAACAGTTGTTTTCAATTATTAATTATAACTCCTTGATTATGAGTAATTAATTTATTATATGATAAATATAATTATTGGTTTATATCTTGAAATATTTTGAACACCAATTCAAGCATGTTACACATGCAAAAGACTACTTGAACAAGTGTTGGGTGAAAGCTAATTTGAGGCTCAAATCCAGCATCACAGATCAGGTCCACACAAGTTGTGTAGACCATATTTTGTCTACTATAAAATAATGTACATTCAGTACAAAAATAATGTACATTGTATTCAGGGGATGTACATTATTTTTGTTCTGAGTGTACATTGTATTGTATAATGTACATTCAGTACAAAAATAGTATATATTTAATATATTAAAAATGTACTTTTTGTTATGGTCCACATAACATAATAATTTGCCCAGCACCATGCCACCAAAATGTAGCGCTGTCTATTATGTAATTAAGTATTAAAAAAAAAGTAAATTTATATTTTTATTACTAGTTATAACTTTTGACGTAGTGAAAAATATTTTATTCTATAAATAAATACCTAAACGTGTGTTCATTAATTTGAGCATGCATGTGAATCACACTAAAATTTGGCAGTTCCCTTTCATAAATTACACTATGACTTAATTCCATCAGAGGTTCCTTGTCTTTGGTGATAATTCCAAATTAGTCCCAGACTATCGTTTTTGCTATTTAACATCTCAAATTATTAATTTTTGGACAGTTTTAGTCCCTTCTCATGACTTTTCCTATTTTTAGTAAGGGCATTTTTGTCTCTTCATATTTTTCTTTTGTTATTTTTTCAGTTTCAACCGTTTTAATTGGTTTAGGACTTTACTAAAAATCGGTCGAAAAATATGGTTACTAAAAACAAGAGGTTACTTAATGTTCTAAACCAATTAAACCGATTGAAAACGGAAAAAATAACAAAAGAAAAATATAAAAAAGACAAATACCTTTACTAAGAATAGGAAAAGTAATGAAAAGGACTAAAACTGTCCAAAAATTAATAGTCTGGGACCACCAAAGATAATGGACCTCTGATGGAATTAACTCTCATTACACTGTCCTACAAACAAACCAAATGTTGGTGCACACAAGGATTTGTCCATTTTAGGCATAATTCTCACGTTGTTGCCGTCAAAGTTTGAGCATTGGTATCTTCTCCTAAATATAATACTGTTTACATATTAAACCATTGAGCTAAACACGTGCGAGCATGAATGCGTAATTTCTAAGTGTTAGTTGGCGGCTATGGAATCCCATGTTACGGTCGAAAGTAGCTAGCCAGCGAGGGTGACGGCACAAAGTCGTTGCAATAATTATATCATTATTGTTTTTTAGTTATGCAATGGAACAATTTAATTAGGTCGTCTAATCTGCGGCGGTAAACCGAAAACATTTTCCCTTTTCCTTGGGATACACTACTTTTTTATGCTTTAATCCACGTATGAAATTAAATTTAATAGTTATACAAATTTTACAGTGCCAGCCCTTAATGAAGGTGTGTGTGTTTTTTTTTGTAAGATGACAGAGGAAAATGTGTAATTACCTATCACACAAATTCGTAACCTATCAAATTAAACCTATCATGCTAATTATGAAAAAACTATCAAATTAAACTAATAAAGGGGTACTATTACCACAAAATGCTAATTATGAAAAAGCTACATTTGTCTTATAACTCTCATACTAAAATTCTATGTAATTAATTATTTTAATATATAATCTTACTTTACAAAGACATACATATAATACCATACTGCACGATAACAGATGATATATATATATATATATATATATATATATATATATATATATATATATATAGAGAGAGAGAGAGAGAGAGAGAGAGAGAGAGAGAAATGGAAGAAAATAGATGAGGATGGAGTTGAGTAGCCTTAAGGCCATATGTTAAAAAGAGTGGTGATAAGCCAGGTCACAACTCACAAGGCGGAATTTATTCCATACACATTCTCGAGTAATGATTGTGAGTTTCTTTCATCATAAAATAAAATAAAAAGAAATAAAAAAATAAAAAAGATTGTTGAGTACTGGTGATAGATGGAATAATGTATGCAGAAATTAATTAATGTGGGGATGAATTGCGTAACTAAGTGAGAGAATTGAAGTTGGCATACAGATATACAAACTGACCTAACTTTTTAGGCTTTGATCAAAATAATGAGGCACGCATCATGATCAGGTGTCAAAAGTAGTTGTTGGAAATTAAACCTTTACCGCTGCTAACTGCTAACTAAAGATCATATTCAGCTGTACCATAATGCATACTCATCGGACACCGCTAATCAGATTGGATCTGTGTTCTCACTTTTACTGCTCCTTTAATTTAGCTAATTCAATTCATTGTTGAAATTGTACAGGTTTAATTTGATTAGTTGGAATTTCTACCTTGTCATCATGTATTCTTGTACTTATCATATTAGAGAAACTCCGATCCAAAACAAATATTTATTAAGTTTTTTTTGGAGTTTTATAGTGAAGTAGAGGAGAGAATGAATGGCCATATTTGTTTGGTTTTTTATGAGGTTTTTTAGTGAGGTGAATTGTCTGTCTAAGAAATTAAAAACTTAGAGCAACCCCATTAGTAAATTTTTAGGTGTTTTTTTTTTCTTTTTTCGTGGGGACAAGCATGATATAGAAGAGAGAGAGAGAGAGGGAGAGAGAAATTTGAAATCTCCGTGTAAATTATTGATTTTTTGTGGGCTCTATTAAAATATAAATAAATAAATAAAAAGCAATGATTCTTATACGCGTGTAAAAAACTTTAAATTTTTTTTTTTAGTGTCAACTTTTTGGTGGTTTTGGTAGGATAGAAAAAACTGAGCATGAATTTTTTGTTGATAGGAGAGGAAGACTTTAGGTAAATTTTTCTCCAATGAATGGATTTTTGTCAAAGAGAGAAAAAAAAAAAAAAAGAAAAACACGTGCGTGCATGGTCACCACGCGCCCACTTTGGCGCTAGTGGCCGCCAACTAGTGGCTGTTAGGACTCTATTACTTAGGTTAGACTAGGACTCTCTCTCTCTCTGTACACTTATATACTATCTTCAGTCTTTGGTTAATATTACATCTACACATTCCTATCCTCATCTGGTATTAGTTAGCCAGGTTTTCTCTCATGGCAGCTCTCGGTGTGAAGGATGACGGCTTTGTTCATGACTCTACCGAGCGGACCGTCACCGAGGCTCCTCCTAACACTGTCGTTGGTGCCAGTCTCTCATCAGCGCATCACTTTGTCTCTCTCAAGTTGAAAGTCCGGAACTTCCTCTTCTGGAGAACGCAGATGCTACCGTTCCTGGAGGGCAAGGGATCCTTGGGTACGTCGAAGGCACGTTGCAGTACACGGCTGATTCACCGCTGGTCGCCTTGACGACAGACAGCGGCGGTGTTGTTGCTGCTTCAGACCCGGGCTAGCGGCTGCAGTGGCGACACCAGGACAAAGCCATTCTGTCGCTCCTCATCTCTTCCCTCTTTGAAGAGACCATGCACCTTGCAGTTGGCCAGACGACTTCTCGGAAGTTATGGCTCGCGATTGAGCAGTCCCTTGGCTCGTCGACTAGGGCCCGGGCGTTACGCTTGCTTAGAGAATTGCAGGGGCTTTGCCAAGGTACCTTGTCGATCTCGGACTACCTCGGCCACGCTCAAATGCTCGTGGAGGATTTGACTCTTGCCGGTCGGAAAGTCACGTTAGACGATCAAAACCTTTACGTCTTCCGTGGTTACGGCTGGAGTTTCGCCCACTTGTGGCGTCCTTGACGTGGGGAGCTCCAGTTCCATTGACGGAGGTTGCGGATTTTTAGGTTTCGCAAGAGTGGATTTGTGCTGATGACGGTGGCAGCTTGGGTGCACTGGCTGCCTTTGCGGCGAGTCGTGGTGGTCGTGAGGGCGGTCAGCAGTCCTGCGGTGGCGGAGGTCGCGGTAGAGGGAACCGGGGGCATGGTCGTGGGTGCTCTCGGTCTGGGCCTTGTTGTCAAATCTGCAACAACCAAGGCCATTCTGCTCTCTCGTGTTACCGTCATTATTCTGACTCGTCGGGTCCTCAGGCGAACATGGCTTTTCCTCATGAGTTTGCTAGTTCGGATGGCCCTCATCAATGGCTTCCTGACACTGGTGCCACGAATCACGCAACACCGGATGTAACAACCCAAAATTTAATTTTATAAATCCAATTTTAAGAATTTCCAAAATAGTCATTTTCACTCCATTAAAAATTTTTGCGATAAATTGATGTTTGAATAAATTATTTTGAGTTACTTTTTAAATTAATTCAACACCAAAACTTATTTTTATTCCAAAATCCTAAATTTTTGGGTACTTCGTGTACCAAGTTTTAAACAGAGAAACCAATCTGAGTGAGACCGGGAGGAATCTAAACCAAGTGTTTGGTTAGAAATTATTTTTGGAAAATTACATTTAGAACCCCAAACTTTTTAAAACCACCTTTCTAGTCTATGATCCACGTTGCAAGGTGGACCAAGAGCATTCTCCTTGTCTGATAAGTGTAGAACAACCACCAAAATTATCATCTTACCCTCCACCAATCATTGGGTATCATCCTAGGGTTTTGAACCCATATAAAAAGAATAGTTAGCTCATTTTGTTCTCCTGATTCCACTCTTTGCCTTCCCCAAAGAGGAGAAAACACAGTAAGGTTTTCAGCATTCATTTTCATCCATTCATTCTTCTCTTTATCAGCTTCCATCTCTTAGTTTCATCTCTGGGATTCTATCCTTAAGTTTTGTTGTTTGGTTTGTTTGAGGTGTTTAGGTGGTGAAGGGGGTAGTGGTTGAGTGGAAAGAAGAAGGAATCCACAGAAGGAGGAAAAACAACAAGAGGTATAACCCCATGGACTCCCACTCTTTGATTTTGGCTCTGTGAAGCCTATTGTATTGAGTAGAAATGAGTAGAAATGGTGAAATTTTGTTGTGTTTGAGCTTGGAAGTGATCTAGTATTTGTCTTTGAAGTGATGATAAAGTTTTGGATGTTTTGGACATGCTT